AAGTATGAAACTCGATTTGTTACGACAAATATAATTTTTTAGATAAACATTTCACTTATTCTTTCGTAACAAATCCAGAAACAATCGAAGGGTGATGAGATAATTATAGTTCCTTTATTCTTAATTAGAGATTCGGATTACACTTTATCAGCTTTCTTACCATGTCTTTCACTTGCAATGAATTTAGATTAATCAGCTTAGCAAATTTCATTGTAGCATATGAATTATGATAAGTTTAGTGTGATCCCTCCATTCGAATTTACTCGTTAAATTTAGACTTAACATATCTATTAATAAAATAACGATTAATATATTAAATTTATCATTTTATTCCTATTAATCAATAGGATCCCAAACATATTTGTTCACTACAATTTTAAAGACATTAACTCAATATAAATAAATTGAGGATATAATAGAAAAAAATTGTACTTCTTTGATTTGTCAAAAGTAGCGACTAGAAGTAGAAATCAAACGAAAAAAATATGACGAGTAAAAATAAACGGAAGAATTTTGCGAAGGAGACATGCTTTATTGGAATCTTCTAATAGAATTTTGTGTCTTTTTTTTTTCCTTCTTCTTTGAATATGATTCAATTTGTCAAAGTTATGATATCATGTTAGGCAATTAAAACACTAGTAAGTCAACTATTTTCCTTTTTATAATCGTGAATTATTGGAGACTTTAAAACATAACATTTTAAATAATATTAAAATATTACAATTTAAAAGTGGAAAACTTTTATTGGAGACTTTAAAATTCAACGTTTTAAATAATACTAAAATATTACAATTTTAGAAATGGAAAACTTCTATAGGAGACTTTAAACACAATGGTTTAAAAGATTATCTACTTCTATATATATATTTTGGGGCAAAAGATTATAACCTACCAATATGAATTATGATGGATAAACATGATTTTTTTAATATTTTTTTATGGTAGATCTCGAATTTTAGTTTCTGTATGAGAAGTTTTATATTAGGATGAACTATCTCTTAACCATTGCGATATACGTTTGAAATAATCAGAATCCAATACACTTTATCGTTATGCACCTTTCAAACATATTTTTTTTACTCGACTTGCGCGGTTTCTTTTTCCGACCAATTTGAATTCCATTTCATTTTTTATTTTAAGTTACTGGCTATGAATAACTAGCATAATAAACTCAATTATTTCATAATTTGCTTCTTCAGATGGAAAGTATAGATAGAAAGACAGAAAAAAATTCGTAACATTAGACTTATTCCTATTTTTTTAACTGTAGATCTCAAATTCTAGTTTCTGTATGAGAAGTTTTATATTAGGAAGAACTTCCTCTTAACCCTTGCGATATACATTTGAAATAATCAGAATTCAATACACTTTATCGCTATGAACCTTTCAAACATATTTTTCTTACTCCAACTAACACAGTTTCTTTCCCCGACCAATTTGAATTCCATTTCATTTTTTATCTTAAGTTACTGGCTCTGAATAACTAGCTCAATAATAAACTCAATTTTTCCATAACTTGCTCCTTCGGACGGAAAGTATAGATAGAAAGAGAGAATAGGAGTAGCAAAATTAAATTTATTCTACTTCAATAAAAATATTGTAACTGTAAGTGAAAATAACAATCATTCGATCGATCAATCAAAAATTTTTTTTGACCTTTTGTGCAAGCAAATATTCTTTTTCATTTCAACCATTTACTTTGACAATTGGCAAGTAGTGCCGTCCTTGTTTACATATTTTCCCTAAATTCTCTTTGTTTTTTTTTCTTATCTTTTAATTTTAATGTCTCGATCCAAATTGGGCCGCGACTGGCACCCACACTTACCCTCCTATGTGAGCGAACCAACCAATCTAAACCTCAACATTTCAATATAATATCAACAGGAAGTAATGCGGAAGACTTAAACTCATTAATAAAAACCAATTCAATAACTTCTAAAAACTCAACAACTATTATTATTCTTCCCAAAATCTGGAAGTCATCATCACAAGAACATCTATCCTCAAATTACTAATCTAAGAGTATCTAAGAAGCTAAAATACATAAAAAGCTAGTCCATGCCGGAACTTCAAGGCATCAAGACATGAGGAGGAAGATCCAGTCCAAGCTAGAAGCGTTAGCTCACCCTGAAATCCGATGTAATGAAGACTGGCTAGAGTTGCGGTTGAGTTGAAGACGACGGCACGTTTGCTGCACTCCACAAATAACAAGGAAAGAAACATACAAGTAGGGGTCAGTACAAAACACGGGTACTGAGTAGATATCATCGGACAACTCAAAATAGAAACAATATATATCAGATAATATCATAAATCAACTACAATACTCAATCTGTAGCAACACCATGTACAAGAATCTTTGATAAATAACGTCAAGTACATTCATGAGGACTCAAGCCTCCATATCATACTCATTTGGGAATTAGGTTCATTAGATTGAGTATATTAACATCTTTCAAGATTCATCACCTTTATTCTTGTGTCGGTACGTGACACTCCGCTCCCTTACTACTATGTGTCGGAACGTGACACTCCGATCCCCTAGTTCTACGTGTCGGTTCGTGACACCCGATCCCCTAATTCTACGTGTCGGTTCGTGATACCCGATCCCCTAATTCTACGTGTCGGTTCGTGACACCCGATCCCCTAATTCTACGTGTCGATTCGTGACACCCGATCTCCTAATTCTACGTGTCGGTTCGTGACACCCGATCCCCTAATTTTACGTGTCGATTCGTGACACCCGATCCCCTAATTCTACGTGTCGGTTCGTGACACCCGATCCCCTAATTCTACATGTCGGTTCGTGACACCCGATCCCCTAATTCTACGTGTCAGTCCGTGACACCCGATCCCCTAATTCTACGTGTCGGTCCGTGACACCCGATCCCCTAATTCTACGTGTCGGTTCGTGACACCCGATCCCCTAATTCTACGTGTCGGTTCGTGACACCTGATCCACTAATCTCATTCTATTAATTCATCAAGCCTTCTTTTATACCAAGGCATCATCAATCTCATCAATCTCATCACTTTAGTTCATCAAGCCTTCTTTTATACCAAGGCATCATCAATCTCATTACTTTAGTTCATCGAACCTTCTTTTATACCAAGACATCATTATTAACAAGGTTTTTTTTTTCAAGATTTGGGATTCAATAGCTTCATCATGCTTATTTCATCACAATTATATAATCACATTCATGCAAGCATACAATTAAGCATATAGAAGACTTTACAATACAACCCAACACATATCATTCGCTATCAAGAGTTAACTACGAATAGTATAAAACCATAACCTACCTCCACCGAAGAATTTCGATCAAGCAAGCAATTTCCCAAGCCTTTTTCGTTTTCTCGTTTCTCCTCTTTGTCGTCGATCCTCTCTCTCTCTTCTTGTTCTTTCTATTTTCTTTATTCAAATCCTCTTTCTTTTACCCTAATTAGCATATAATTAAGAATAAAAGATGGCAATAATAACTCACTAGTTTACTCAAGGTTACCTCTTTTAGCCCCCAAGTAATTGAGTTATTAATATTAAACCACTAACTTTATAATTATAAGTCGGAATAGTCAAAAACGTCCCTTAAAATATTAAAGAAATCCGACTCCGCCTGGGATTACGCAGCCTGTGACGGGCCGTCGTGCCTGCGACGGTCCGTCCTGCTGCTCCGTCACAGAGTTCAGAGACTCAATTCTCTGAAGAGTCTGTGACAGTCCGTCACGCCTGTGACGGTCCATCCTGCCATTCCGTTACGAAGTTCAGAGAGTCGATTTCAGTACCCATTTTTCAGAATTTCTAAGTGTTTTGAAACGAGACACTCTCGACGGTCCGTCGTGCCCATGACGGTCCGTCGTGGGTTCCGTCATCTCAGCCTGTTTTTCTATAAATAAAATCTGCTGCTCAAAATGACTAAACAGGTCGTTACATTTAATAATAAAAATGTGTCCTCCACTCTTCATTCTTTTTTTGTTTATTATATAACTATCTCTTTATTTTATAATTTTGACTAATTTTTAATCACATAAACTGATAAATATTCCAACCGTCTAATTATTATAATTTATAATATATACTTTATAAATCCTTTTAACTTTTTTTAATTTCATGGGTACCCACCATTTTCAGCCGTCTAATATATTATTAAAGGGTTGGTGATTAGTCAATTTTTTTCTAGTTGATTTAAAGTTAATTAAGTTAAAATTATTCTTGATTATTCAATTATGTAATGGTTAAAATTATTTTTTTGTTGGTTATAAAGGAATATATTGGTTGTAACTAATCCAGTATGCCTTTTTAAGTAATGGATTAATGGCTAAAATATAGCATGAGTTATTGCTATTCTATTTTTAATAAAGTAATATTTTTTTTCTTTTTTAAATTTTATAAATGTTTGTAATTATTACTATTTGATAGATACCAACTCTATATCTCTACCATATATTTACCTAATTAATTAAGGTATAATAATTTTTTTTAAGTGATATAGGTATAAAATAGACATGATATATTTCATTTTTCGAGAGTCGACAATTAAAATTTACACATAAAATCTTCAATTTTTTTGAAATAAAATTTATACATTTGTAAACTACGTAACAAAAAGTACTACAAGTCACAATAATTGACAATTCAAAATATTTACAAGATATATGAAAAATTTACAGTCAAAGATAAACTTGTTAAAATCTCAAAAATTCAAAATGTGTCGCATAAATTGAAATAGAGAGAATAATTATTTACGTTAATGATATAATTGGACATAATTTCGATAAGAAAAATATCCCGAATCTCCAATGGAAACTTCTATCGAGATATTTTTAGTTTTTAGTTGATGGAATGTGATAGAGTTTATGTACGAACACATAAAATTCAAATTCTGACTATTTCTTCTTGATCTATATAGGCTATTTATAAGTTTGATATGCACTAATTGCTATTATTGATAAGTCAAAAGTGCATATATAGAGACAACAATTTAAGGACAAATAAATTAAACCACCACAAGCATATAGCCACTCACTCTTCCAATTTTTTAAAAGTCAAAAGTTGGCCCTCTTTTGATAATTTCTCCACACTACAAAAAGCCAATTTACATTGCAAAAATATTCAAGAAATCAACTTCTTTTCTCATTTTCTTGTACACAAAAAATGCTAGGCAAGAAGTTTGGTTCAATGAAGAAATTAGCCAAAAAGGCTAAGGTTATTAGATCACCAAGTGCTAATTCTATTTATAGCCATGATGAATCCCAACATCTTGAATATTTACTTGTTAAGGATGATCATGATCATGATCATGATGATCAAGATCAAGATTATCAAGGGGTTAGTCCAACAAGTGCTAAATCATCAAAAAAGATGGGAACATTTGCAGTGTATGTAGGGGAAGAAAGGGAGCGATTCGCGGTGCCAACGAGCTATCTTTCACATCCATTGTTCAAGATTTTGTTGGAGAAGACATATAATGAGTTTGGTTTTGAGCAAACAAATGGACTTGTGGTTCCATGTAGTGTTGCTGCATTTCAAGAAGTGGTCAATGCTGTGGAGTGTTGCAATGGGAAGTTTGATTTTGGTGGCTTGGTTGAGGAATTTCTATAATTAGGTCTATATTATTCAAGGTCTTATATATTCACAACTACGTACAACGTTTCAGTCTCGAACAAGTTGGAATCAATTACTTTTCTAACTAGAGTGAAAAAATAGCATTTGGTGAAATAGATTTTAAAAGGATTAAATCATATATTAAGGAGGTAATTTACAATTTAAAGTCTTAGTTACTTTTGTACCAAAGAGATAGTGTAAATTATTACACCTTTAATATCATAGGTAATTAAGCTTCCTTTTGTGTTTTTTTTCCCATGAGGAGAAATATCAATTGAGAGAAGTAAATCTTGTTGTTTATCAACTAGCTAAATTGTAAAATTTAAGTGACCAGACCAATTGAAAGAGAAATGTAATTGTTAATTATTTACTTTTTGCCCTTTCAAATACATTAAGTGGTACATTAAGACCACTTTGAGAATGTTTAAACTCGTTCAAACAGTCAGTCTCAGAGTTAAAGTCGAAGTCAGATAAAAAAAAATAGTTATGTAAGCTGATATTTACCTTAAATAAACTAAGGATGTACACTTCTATCGTTTTAATCTCGCTCCTCACCTTGTTTTTCTTGTCATTTCACATGGGCGAAAGACTTTTTTTTTTTAGATTCGATATAGAAATGGAATGTAGTTATTAGTCATAGTTATCAAGTCAAAAGGGTTTTCTAATTAGTCAAAATGGATTATTGGTAGTTTGATTATCATCAAGAGGTGCATGCATGTTATACAATTATTTAATTTTGACTTGGTCAAAAATTAGATACTGAACATAGTGGTAACCACATTTACCAAAAAAAACAAAACAAAAAAAGTACTAATTGGATGCATGTTGGTTGAAGTTAGCAGCATTTTTAGTAGTTAGGTGATAAATTAGAGCCACAAATGACTCATGGAATGTTTTTAATTTTGTAATTTTCGAAAGAGTTTATGTTATCTGCACTGTCAGTATATCAATCACATTAAGTTCACCTGGAGAATAGAAGAGTAACCTGCTATAATCAGTTAAATTTTGACATGATGTAAAATTTCGTTTACATCGTCAACGGCTCACACATAAACTCTGCATCTTTTAAAACAAGCAGAAAAAGAACCAAGAACTTGAAACTTTTGATGTCAAAAACAAACAACTTACTGCATTTTCATTGAACATGATGAGTGGGAAAATATAGTGTTTGTTTTAGTAATATACTAGCAGTCAATAAGGATTTTTTTCATTTCACCAATGAGCTCCTGTATTTGCTCTCTAGTATGCAAGGGGAAGGGATAAACACATGCACAATCCAAATGTCCGTCCCTGATTGTGTCGAATATGGCAATAGAAGGGCCTACCCCATGCACGGATGCACACCCGATGAAGTCTTCTAATCCGATTTCTTGATGCATTGTGCTGGAGGTATCGATCACAGTGTCTTCAAACACGGAGATCAGAGAAGTTCTAAGTGAAGAGGATGGAGTTAAGCCGGGATTATCAATGGCCCTGCACATGAGGAAATTCAGGTCTCCCATGTCTGTGAAATGCTTGTTATTGTTCTTGGCGTTGATAAAAGATGTGTAACTTCTCTTTGCTAGCTCCCATAAGTCATCTCCTCCCTTAACGTCATGCGTGTTGAGGATGGCAGAATGATAAAAGCCTGCACGATTTAGATCATTTTAATATGCTCTGTTAAAGAATGACAAAAGTCTCACATCGATGATTAATGAGATGGGTGAATTCTTTATAAGGCTTAGGCAATCCTCCTCTCTTTGAGCTAGCTTTTGAGGTGTGAGTTAGGCCTAAGACCTAATTTCACATGGTATCAGAGCTGGGTCCGTCTCACCCGATGTTGTGGTCCCCAAAATTAAAATTGTCCACGCACTGGGCGTAAAATTGTCCACGCACTGGGCGTGAGGTGGGGTGTTAAAGAATGACAAAAGTCCCACATCGGTGATTAATGAGATGGGTGGACTCTTTATAAGGCTTAGGCAATCCTCCTCCCTTTGAGCTAGCTTTTGGGGTGTGAGTTAGGCTTAAGACCTAATTAAACATGGTATCAAAGCCCCAAAATTAAAAATTGCTCACGCACCAGATGCTAAGCACTGGGCGTGAGGTGGGGTGTTAAAGAATGACAACAATCCTCCTCCCTTTGAGCTAGCTTTTGGGGTGTGAGTTAGGCCTAAGACCTAATTTCACATGCTCTGTTCAGTAAACATCACAATGCAGTAATCGAAATGACCAAAATAACAGAAGCTCACAATTAGTGAAATCTAGATAAGCGGGAACAATCAGCCTGAACCAGCTCAAAATGGGCATTTCAAACCAGTTTTGAGTTTAGAAGTCGGAGTTTTAAGACTCGAGAAAGGCTGATAAGATACAACAATAGCAATGAAAAGAAAAAGCTGAACAGAAGTGAGAGTTACATCAAATGTAAGAACAATCACATGGTACTGACTACTGAAGTATGGTGTACTTGCTCAAGTTAAAAGGGCTAATAGGATGTTTCCAGCAGACTAAGGGTAATTTGAGCTTTTCCAAGTACATAGATAATGGGCAACGAACTTGCAAGTCACATATAGCAACTCTATTATTTACCTTAAAAGGAATCCTTGCAAACCAATACTTGACTCCCGATTGAGTGTACGTATGAGTTTATAGATTGACAGGTTCTCCCTCCCTTAATAGGCTGAGGTTTTCTATTTAGTCTATAACAATTACTATCAAAGCAACGCTTGAGCACGAAAATCAAAGAGGGGGTTCTAGAGTCTGTCATGTGTACTAGCCTTGATCAATTGGGAGTAGTTACCTGGACCTAAGAGTGTACTAGCCTTGACCAACTGGTAGAACATCAGTAGCGGTACCATTTATTATTAACTTGGGTCCAAAAAGAAGAAAAAAAAGATCGGATACCAGTAGACAGTAGTAACCAATGGGGTTAGATGGGTGTCAAGAGTGGAGGCCTCGGTACAAGAAATATAAAGACCCGATACAAGTAAGTTTTTACCATGAATGCATTAACGAACCTGGAAAATCAGGGCTAAGCACTGGATCAAGAATTGAACGGCAGTTAATAAGGGTTACAATTGCATACTTCTCCCATTGATTCTCCTTTAGGCCTTTTAAGGAATGAGCTGCAATTAATCCAGCAGCAGCCAATAGTCCACACAGTTTTATACCTCTCGTTTTACAGCCCTACCAAAATTCAGATTTTGTTACTACCTCTAATGCTCTAAAGTGCAAACAATGTACATTTAGATAGGGAGTCGTAACCTGTTGCTCAGACTCTTCAAAAATGTTTTTCAGGTGCATTCGGATAAAGTAATGTAATTTTTGAAGATTTGACATTGGCGAACAACATTTTTGTAGTGTCGCACACACTTATCACAGGCAGTTACATACAACTAACTTCTAAATAATGTGATCTTGCACTGTCGATGTATAAAATTTAAACCATTAATCAGGCTATAAACCTGATCTTAGTTGAGCCGAATTGGATCTTTTGATTTAACGGTATTAGTTTATACCATTCTCGGTGAACAGAGTTGCTTGATACACATGCAGATGGAAAGTACTGAGGTAACCACTAGTCGACCCGAACACCACGAGTTATTTTTAGAAAAATTAGTAATATCATTACTCACAATCAGGCCAGATTCTAGTCATGTGAAAGATGTAGCATGCAAATTGGCCAATTCACAATTCAAATATGATTAAAGTTGGACATCATGTGAAGAGAATATTCAATGAGGGCCATAAATGAGACTAACCTAAAAAAGAAAATTGGGCCAAGCAAGTTTTCATAGAGTAGCTTTGCCTAATTTCTAAAGAAAATGAAAATAAAATGTCAACCTAACTTGACAATTTGAAAATGACATTTAAATCTATTTTTGTATGACGATGATGTTCAACTCAGTTTGCAAACGTTATCAATTAGATACCTACTATTTGCCATCTAGGTAAATACCAGATAACTTTATCGATCAAAATTTAGGCACCGAATCAAAGTTTCAAAAGCCAAAAGAGAGATTTGGAGACAAGAAAAAAATTGGTTGAGACACGGGATGATAGGGCGGGAGGCCGACTTTCGGTACTTTCTGCCAATTCGATTTCAATACTAGAGAAAGAAATTTGAATCATCTAATGTATTGTCTCCACTTAAATTTCAACCATAATATCTATTTTCATATTTTTAATATACCACTAAGGATATTATAATTAATTTATGATTAAGTGAGAAAAATATACATTATCAAATAATACTAAGGAAATTATAATTAATTATGATAAAGTCAGAAAAATATATGATTAAAGACAACACACCATACATCGAGAAAATGACAAAAATAATCCTTTTAATTTAGATAGGCTTAACATACTTCCTTAAATATAGTATTTTAAAAGTTTTAAATTCTTTAAGTTTGTAAAACATTAGTGTTTCTCTATCAATTATCAAATATATATTTAACACACTGACAATTAAATTTATTGAAAGAGAAAAAAAGGAATATCACTATCTTGCTCTAAATTAAGGAAGCTTAAGAAAAACACTATTCCCGTTTCAATTTATTTATCTGATTATAATTTAAAATATAGTTTTAGAAATCGATTCCTATCATTTTAAATTAAAGATATATAAAATATATCAAAATAACTTTTAATCTTGTGAGTAAACATATCACATGAAAAATAAAATTAATGAGAGGTCAACCAAAAAAGAAAAAAGAGTCGTTCTTATTTGAAACGACTAAAAAGATAACAAAATAAACAAATTGAAACGAGTGAGTATGTGATCTCTTCTTATCTAATCAAGCCTTAATAAACATAAAATTTATAAAAAAAAGAAATAAGCGCAAAAGTTTAAAATTAATGTGTTGTCAAAAAAAACTATCAAAGACTTAACAAGTGCTATGTGATTTCTTCTTATCTAATCAAGTCTCGATGAACAAAATCATAAATAAAATGAAATTAATCGAGATGCGTAAAAAGGTAAGAAATTTACTAAAATGCGAAGAACTTACATCAAGAATGTGATCAGTCTCTTGTTTATTCAACTGCAATTTCACAACTTGTGATCCTCTCGTTGATTCCGAATCCATAAACTTCAAATTACAAAATCTCAATGAATTCAAACCATACCCCACCATATCAATCCCACGCGCCCAAAATGGTTTACTCGCTTTACCATCTGGAATATACTCTTCAATCCCCAAACCAACCTCCATCTTTTTCAATATTTCCAATTCTGTCCCTTCTTCATCTTCCTTCTCACAACTCACCAGCTTCAATAACTTCTTCAGCACCGCCAATGCAGCCGCCCGATCACACACCGATGTATGAATCCTTAAAGCGAACACCGATTTTTCGTTTTCTAATTGATAAATGCTGGCGAAGAAGATATCCGTGTCGGAATCTGATGAAGTGCCGGTGTTCATCCATGAGTTGTGGTTGATTTCGTGTTCGAGGATGAGATGAAAATCGGAGACGGAGGTGAGATCGGAGGTTTTGAGGCGTCGGAGAATCTGAACCGTTGATGAGAGATCGAACGGCTGGATTTGAAGATGAGAAGTGGAGGGAATGATGTAAGAGTAGGAATTTGTGCTTGATTCGTAATGGAGTTGAGATTTGAGGATAGGATTGGAATTTTGGAGTTTGTGAAGGGCATTTTGGAGAAGTGAAATGTCTGGTGGTTTTGACAAGAGTAGAGCTAAGACTGTTATACCTGTGCCACCGGGAACCGCCTTGCACCAGCTGTGCTCGGTGCTTCCGGCCGGCCGACTTTTCAACTCAGACGACGGAGCTGCGGCGGCGCTTCCTTGCTCAGCCATTACTGAGAGATTAGCTAAATGGGAATGAAAAGTACAAATGAAGCCTAACCACTTATTTATACATATTCTTTAAGTGATAAAATTAATGATTAAGAAAAGTTTGATTACTCTTTTTTTTTTCCATGTCACGTGATTTGGTTTTCAGATTAAATTATCTCGAGATTATTTAAATGAGAAAAAAATAAATATATTTTAAACTATCATAAATGATACATTCCTCATACTTTTGGAACATTAGTTTTCTTGCCGTTCAAAAACTAGAATATATATATATACTTTATACTAATAGATATACACATTGTTAGGTTGTAGAGTCTGATTAATATATTTTAGGCTTTACTATTTATTCTTCATATATTATCTGTAACTAAAATATACTCTTATTTATTAATATATATACCTCAACGCCGTAGAAGTTTACTCACGGAGTATTACCACGAAATATTGGCTTCTCTCTTTCTCTCTCTAGATCTCTCATCTCTTTCTCTCTAAAGTTCTTGTGTTATTTATTCATCAAGTGTGTGTATGTATGAATTCGATCCTAACACACGTGTCATAATCTTATTTACTGATTCGATATTTATCAATAGATAAGATTGTGTCACGTGTCTCTATTTAGTCTTCCGTTAGAGTGGAGGATATATATGCTCTAGTTTTTAGACAATAACAGCACCAATGTCCTGAAAATACAACGAAGAATATTCGTATATCATTTAAAATAGTTCAACAATATATTTATCTTGTTTTCCGTTTTAAATTCATTTATCTATCGGAGCAAGGAGATACAATAATATTAAGCTTGATGGAAAATTTTAAAAAATAAACAAAATATCAATTTAATTTTAAAATATAATGTTAATGGGTAAGAAAAGAAGAAAGCATGACAACTATAAACTTTGGACTCATTTACCAACCAAAGCATTGGGATATGATGATGTCAAATTTGATTCTTTTTTGTTAAAAAAAAAAAAACGAGATCAATTTATATACACATATATTTGTATGATTTTATTTTGAAATTAACAAGTGCTTATACACTCGCGTGTATATACGTAAATTCGCCCATGCAATAATATTCTTAAGAAAGGTAGAAGCGAAAAACTTAGCGATGAATCTAAACATAATCATGAAAATTACTTACTATGAGTAGAATTTATTGATGGTTACATAATGAGCATACTTAGTTTGACATATATAGTATTACAAAACCTTATTTGAACAATTTAGTCTAAAGTCTAAAATGCAACAGAGTGGAAGTGCCATCCAGCCCTTTGTTATTGAAATGAGTTGTGAACTCCTTAATCGTCGTTTCCCTGTAGTTTGGAGGATTCTGTTCCGATATCAGCTCCTTTATAGGTCCATACAGCCTTTGTGTTGCCACAAAGTTTGTCATGAAGAAGCATGCCAACGATACCCTTGGACCGACCTTATTAGCCAGTACTCTATGATCAACACTTTTGAACTTGTCATTCGTTATAAGCTGAAAATGATCGAGTTCATAAGTGATAAGAAATGTATGTTTCTGATACAGGTATATGTTTAAATGTAACACTACTTGCCTGTAGAATATCTCCTATATTGACCACGAGAGCTCCGGGAGTAGGAGGAACATCTACCCAATGATTCTGATGTAAGACTTGAAGACCGCCTACGTTGTCTTGGAGAAGCACGGTGAGGAAGTCATTGTCAGCATGCTTACTGGTGCCTAGAGTTAGTTCTGGTTGTGGGCATGCTGGATAATAATGGCCTAACGCCATAAGCCCCTCGGCACAACCCATGTCCTTGAGGTGATTTGGTTCGAGGCCAATAGCTTCAGCCAGTATTTCAAATAGAGTATCACCTAATTTCATCACTTGGTTTGTGTACTCAAGGAGAACATCCCTTATCATAGATACAGAACAAGCAAATAAAATTACAATACAGTCAAACCTCTCTATAACAACGTCATTTGTCTGAATATGAATGCTATTGAAAAATCTATTCTAGATAAATGATGTTATAGAAGGGTAGGATTGTAGATTAGAATTTATGATACCTGCAAACAGAAGGTAATTCTTCAGGTTTTGGAGGTATAGGAGCTGTGGTAGCAGTAAAAGTGTCTCTCCAGTTGGTTACTGGTGCTCCAAACAGGTCGAAATTGCTGTTAAACGTAAACACTTTTGTCAAATCTCGCGTATACCACTGTTTCTTCTCCTCGGTATCTTGTTCAAAGAAACTGAGAACACCGTCTTTCATTTCCTCCAGAAGATGACTAGGAATCCCATGATTGATCACTTGAAAGAATCCCCAAGTCTCGGATGCTTGACCGACTTCCTGGACTATGTTCTTTCGTTTGATCGAATTTTCCTTGATACCATCAAGATCAATTATTGGAAAACTGAACTTCTTGTTGCTGTGAATTGTTGAATCTTCAATCCTTGACGGTTGAACAAACATTCTTGGTACTTTAGTGATACCTGTATCGACTAGTCCCTTAACACCGGTTTTCGTCTCATCAAAAGCTTGTAGTTCAGCCTTCCTGTCATACTTTGCTTCTCTTGGAACCTGGACTTCAGTTGTGTTGATCAACTCCATTTTTTTCTTAGCTGATATTTGAAGTAAAATATGCCTCAGATGTATTGAATATGTTGTAAATGTTAAGATATATACAAATTTATTTGCACTTAGTCAAAGTGTAAGAGTTAAATCAACAAATAATGCAACTAAGAATTGACAGTTTTAACAAGTCAAGATTATTCAGCTTCAAGACAATTCTGTCATCGTCGTCAGCTGGAAACGAAGACCAGTTCAAATTTCTGGTTCACAAGGCAATGGAGAAAGAGTACATGCATCATCGGTATTACTGGTACTGATAATATCTTCAGAATATAGATTTAACTTTGATCTGTCTTTGTTTTGAAGTTCAGTGTTTCTTCCTCACAAGATACGATATTATAATCTACCGTTGATTCTTAATACTGAACAGATATGATTGCTATAGTATAGAAAGATACCAATACTGATTATTCATTTCAAAAAGCATGCTGGATATCTGTTTCATTTCCCTGACATTATTCCGCCTGTGTGAGCTTGCTAACATTGCTGGTCTCAATCTAGGATAAAGTGGATGATCGTGGTATAAATTGACCGCCACTGTATAACTAGTCACTTCATGATGATACCTCACATTACAGAATATACTTATTCTGGAGTGACAGTATCATATAGACAGCCAACTCAACTTGCTTTGGATTTACTTGAGCAAAAGTCATGTCAAATCATCTTGAACAGTAGTAGTATCATTTTTTTCCCTTCAACTTTGAAGATAAGGCTAATGAATGAGTTGTCGAGTCGGAGGAAATGAAAGTAAAGAAGAGAAAACAATCTATTAAGTGTATCATCATAATCAGCATACTTAAGATTACGCATAGTTTCACATAAATAATTGTGTTTAGTCTAAAGCCTAAAATGCAGCAAAAGAAGAGTACTCCTTAACAGTCGTTTCCCTGTACTTTGGAAGATTGTGATCAGATATCAACTCCTCGATAGGTCCATACAGTTTTTGTGTTGGTAGTAAGCCTGTCGTGAAGAAGCACGCCATTGATACCCTTGGACCTATCTTATTTGCTAGTACTCTACGTTCAACACTTTTGAATTTGTCATTTGATATAAGCTGAAAATGATTCGAGTAAAAAGCATATCAACCTACATAACATAAGTAATAAGAGACAAGTACTGTTTCTGATACAGCTACATATGCTAAATGTAACACTACTTGCCTGTAGCATATCTCCTATATTGATTACGAGAGCTCCGGGAGTAGGGGAACATCAACCCAATGGTTCTGATGTAAGACTTGAAGACCGCCTATGTTGTCTTGGAGAAGCACGGTGAGGAAGTCGCTGTCAGCATTTTTACTGGTGCCTGGAGTAATTTCGGGTTGTGGACATGCTGGATAATAATGACCTAATGCAAAAAGCCCCTTGGTACAACACATATCTTTGAGGTGGTTTGGTTCAAGGACAATAGCCTCGGACAGTAGTTCGAATAGAATGTCACCTAATTCCATCACTTGGTTTGTGTACTCAAGGCGAATATCGCTATGACAGATGCAGAATAACTAATAAGCAACTAAAAACATAACACAGTCATCAAACCTCTCTATAACAACGTCGTTTGTTAAATATTAGCTGGCAAATACAACCACTTGTAAGTTCTGGTCCATGAAGCAATGGAGGAAGAGGAAACACATCATCGGTATTTCAAAATAACCAAGAAAGTAACTATGAGATTCATTGAAACTTGAAGATTACAATGCATAAATAGTGATTATCTATACTAATATCTGTTACAATATGACATATATTACTTTGAATAAGTAGCATGAAGAGACAAATGAAAAGATAGTTTAAAGTCGAAAATGTTGCAGAGCAGAAGTCCCATCAAGTCCCTTTGCAGTAAAATAGGCAGCATATTCCTGAATTGTTGTTTCTCTGTATTTTGACGGATTTTCTTCTGATAACAACTCCTTAATAGGACCATAAAGTCTTGACGCTTCTAGAAAAAATGTGGAGAAGAAGCATGCTATCGATATCCTTGGACCAACACGATTTGCCAGTACACGATGTTCAACGCTTTTAAACTTGTCATTTGATATTAACTGTACATTTTCATGACAAAACAACATTACTACTTGTTTTCTCTGCATGAATAACCTTCAAGTGTAGTAATATCTGATAATTCAAATTAATCATTGTGCGTTGTTTTGACGTCTGATGTTTGTGTCAGGGTAGGCTGCCTACATTACACCCTCTTGAGGTGTGGCACTTCCCTGAACTTCGCATAAACATGGAATGTTTCATGCACTGGACAAGTTGTCCAGTGATGGACCTAACGACTTGATGTTGGTTCATTTGAACATAATTCTTTTGACATAATCACACAACATACGCTCGTGTGTGTGTGTGTGTGAAATTAGAGATCAGTGCATGTTATGAAATAGTGATGTAACTCAAGTGTACACATGACCGGTACATACTAGTCTATGGAGCCTCTAACATATGACATGAACTGTATAGGTGTCAGGGCAAGGCTCCGATATACCTTAAAATCATATATGTACATCATATGAATATGACAAGGCCCTCAATGATATTGGGGTCTCACCTACTATAGCTACAAGCATGAGAGTGGTTCGCGAGCTCAAAGTGTAGCCAACGAGCTACTCATTTACAATATTCAACTTGCATGAATTTTAAAGATCACTACTCATTTTCAGTACAGATAGGTGAGAAGACATACCTGCAGAAGATCTGCAATATTTACAACAAGAGCACCAGGGGTAGGAGGGACATCAACCCAATGATTTCGATGAAGAACTTGCAATCCCCCTATATGGTCTTGAAGAAGCAAAGTCAAGAATCCATCATCAGCGTGTTTACTAGCACCTAATGTTAGTTCTGGTTCTGGACAAGCTGGATAATAGTGACATACAACTGAAAGTCCTTCACCACAATCCATTTCATTCAGATAGTTTCTATTGAGTCCAAGTGCTTCTGCTAATAGTTCAAACAAAGAACGCCCGAGTTTCTTCACTTCCTCAGAGTATTTAACAATGATATCCCTTTTACCACATCATAAAGAAAACACTAAACAATATCAGTATCGGAATCAGAAATTCTAACACGGGGATTCAAGAAATGATAGTGTGTCACAACTAGGATTCAAACTTATATCTGCAGGGGAGTCAGGGCAGTTAGTTAAACACTCTCAATCCAAAAGTCATTTTATATTATACATATACAAAATCTTGAACACCCCTTAGCAGAATTGCTAGCTTAGCTACTGGTCTTCTGTCAAGGGGATTCAACGAGTTTCATACATATCGCTATACTTTTTCAACGAAGAGGATTCAATCGAACCCCTTTTACACCACGTGTCGTATAAATGACATACCTACAGATTGGAGGCAATTCTTCAGGACTAGGAGGATTAGGAGCCATAATGCAGAAAAAAGTATCCCTCCAATTAGTTGCTGGTGCATTATACAAATCAAAGTTACTGTTATAAACTACTCTTTTAGTCAACTCTCGCGTATACCATTGCTTCTTGATATCAGTATCTTGTTCATGAAAACTACAAACACCTCGTATCATTTCTTCCATAACATCACACGGAACGCCATGATTGATCACTTGAAAGAAACCCCATGTCTCTGATGCATCGCGGACTTTCTCAATGACTTTTTTTCGATTGATTTGATCGTGACTATCCATATCTTGGAGGTCTATAACTGGAAAAATGAACTGTCCTGTGTTGGAATTTGAGTATGTATCTGGAGGTGAAATGAATATCTGAGGGACTTTACTTACTCCTGCATCAACAAGTCCTTTGACACCAGATTTTGTGTCATCAAAGGCTTTTAACTCACTTTTTCTATCATGTTTTGATTCATTTGTATCCATTTTCTTGATATATCTTGTTCTATTATTCATCAATAGGATATAGTACTCTTCCCTTTAACAAAAGTGATGTCTCGGTTAGCTTGCGTCCACTAAATGTTACCTCCCATCAGAACAGACACCAACCGAGTATCTTTATTTACCAACCGACGTAAACAAATCACCTATTTATAAACTTGAAACTTTATGATTCTCGATCATTGACTAGTAAACCACTTTCTTTTTTTAATAATTAGATGGATAATACAAGATTACAAATTTGTAGCCATAACTTAGTGAGTCATCCATTGTTGACTTTGAAAAATGCAATAAATAAATAAACAAACAATAAATCCAATCAATGCAAGTTGTCACTTATGGATCACTCATTGTCACATTTTAGAATTTTATGTCAAGTTGTAGAGAAAATACAAATTGCTTTTATTGATAGACAAAAAAAAAATACTTTTCTTATTTGTATATTGGCAAGGAAAATATACGAACAAGTAGAAATATATCTAGGGATTGCACCCTATAGCCAATTTTTACCTATTATTTATAGGTTGTATTTTGTTTTTTTTTTTTAAAAAAAGAATTGTTATAACACAAGTTATACTTCTTTGAAGGAAATTACTCTTGGTTAATGTCAATATATTGCCTATGGCAAAACTCAAGAGATATTGGGTGACTCGAGTCGGAATCATGATCGAACATGACACTGACTTGATAAACTTAGTTGAAAAATATAAAATTGACGTAATGTTAAGCTTTTGACTCTAATAAGTTGTATCAAAATCAATATCGTGAGTCTGATTTTCTAGAAGAAGAAGGTGTTAGTCGCTCGAAAGTCGAAAGATCAAAAGTTAAAAATCAAACCAATGGTCAAAAGTGTTAACTTTTTCGTTGGATTGGGCCGATGAGTCCAATACCCAATTTATGGGCCCAAACCGACTCATATTTTTTTTTTCCTATCAGCCCTAAATTTCAAATTTCACCCGTCTTCTTCGGCCAGTTCACACTGCACTCGCCGGAATCTCTCACGGCGGCGATCTCTTTCTCCGGAGGATTTAAAGTCCTAAGTCTCTTCATTTATATCTTCAATTCACGAATTCCCTTTGGTTAGTGTTCATGAGCCATAAACGCTACTTTTTATTTTTTGATTTGGTGAAATGTGACTTTTGAATTGGATCTATGTACATCTTGAAAATCCTCAGATTCAATTTTTCTTAGCTCTGTGTGAATATTTACGTCGCTGTGCTTCGGCTACCTGTAGAAATGATAATTTAGAGTCAAAGGAAAATATCATAAGTTTGGCCTCTTCGACTGTTAGAGCGATTTGTCTGCTGTGCTTTTGGTTCTTCTTTTAATCTTTGCTTCTAGCTGGAAATTTTTTCTTTTTTTCTGCTTCTTCGATATGTTTTGGAAACTGAATTTGGGGTTGTTTTTTTGGGTCTAAAGCCACTGTTGAGCTGCCCTTGTGTGTTAGCAGTTAGTACATTATCTGGAATTGATTGTTTTCGTCTTTGCAGTCTGCTGCAATAGCATCAAAGGATACTTCTGTGCTTCCTTTGATAGATGAACAACTAGTTTTCCTCGTAAAAATGATGTAAAGGTTTAATTTGAATTCAGTTTCATTCGTTCATTGTCGTAGTTGTTATCTGTATATCTTTTGTAAATTCTTTTCGTTGTAAATTAAAATGTCACATTTGCCTTCTTTGTTATTATTGACGATGACCACTGGCCTGTTATCCATCTTTGGTGCGTTGTGTTGCGTTTATAATACACTGATGATTTTGTCAATCTAAAGTCATATATGAAAGCTTCATTTTAGGAACTTTTACGAGTGTCCGTTCGTAAACTAAAACGAATGGAAGTTTTAGTTTTTGAGGAATTTATGTGTATGTGTCTATTGATAGATAGGGTGATTGGAGTGTATTTTTCGTTTCTATTGTATGAACTGAATGTCGAATTTTCTTTTCAAGGCAGGAGTGAGTGTAAAGCACAAGTTTTACCAAGTGGTTGAAGTGGAAATTATCCGAGTTCTTTTGCATTAGCACAACACGCGTATGAAATTCTGATCAAGCTAACATCATTTGCAATTCATTGCTTGGAAAGTGATATCTTAAGCATGAAGCTCATAGCACGGTTAAGACCCATCCAAACCTGTACAGCTCTTCGTGAAATTATAGGGCCTCTGCAGTCTCGTTCGTTTCAACCTGATTTTGTTCCCAGAGATCCTAATGTCAAGCCCATAAGGTACAAATATCCTGCTGCCTATGATCCATATGGCCCGAGACCCCCACCATCAGACAAGATAGTTCAGCTTGCTGAACGTATTGCTGCTTTAGCCCCAGAAGAACGTAGACAAATTGGTCCTTTACTCAGGGAGATACTAAGGCACCCTACTTTGAAACCAATTTCAGTAGAAGGCATGGATTTGGGTGCAATGGGAGGAGCAGGTGGTGGACCGGCAAAGGCTGAGGAGAAGAAGGTTGAGAAAACAGCATTTGACGTGAAGTTAGAGAAATTTGATGCAGCTGCGAAAATCAAGGTGATCAAAGAGGTTAGATCCTTCACGAGTCTAGGTCTGAAGGAAGCCAAGGACCTTGTCGAAAAGGTTCCTGCTATACTTAAGCAAGGAGTAACCAAAGAGGAAGCTAATGAAATAATAGAAAAGATCAAAGCTGTTGGAGGAGTCGCCGTTATGGAGTAACAACAATCTCTGTTGGATTTAGCAGGTTCCCTCATCCTGCATTTCTTCTTTTTTCACAACGGAACATGCCAAAATTAACATAATTTCTCTTTGTTGGATTTAGTTTCTTGGGTTAGGACGATCACGTTTTGTTTAATAGGTTTCGTGCTTTTTACAGCTTTGAATAGGCATGTTGATTACAATATTTTGTATCTGATCTTGCTGCTAGACTGTTAAGAATTCGAAATAATCTCGTGGAATTAATTTAGGTGCACTTGAGCTTGCCCCTAACAGTCCACCACTAGTATCTTATTTTGCAATGTTTTTTTCTCAGACTTGCTTATTAGTCACTTTGTACATCACCTTTACATTATAGTGTCGAAAGAAGTATATTGTTGGTTCAAAAAAGTTAAAACTCATTATTAGAATTAGGGAAAAGGGTCTGATATACCCCTCAACTTTGTTATTTAGAGCTGATATATCCTTGTTATGAAAGTGGCTCATATATACCCCTTGTAAACAAATGGCTCACATATAACCTTTTTCTCTAACGGAAATGAAAAAATAAATAATTTTAATCTAACTTTTTATTATTTTTTTCTAAAATATATAATCCTATATGAGTAAATTTAATCCTCGTCAAACATATTTTTTTTGACTTTTTTTTGTTTTAATGACTAATTTATAATTATTATTTTGAATCAAATTTATTTTATGTTTCACTAATATTCTTGTAAAATTTATTGTAGATGACCAAATTTTTTCTTCGCATACGAAATTAAATTACAATACACACAAAAAAAATAGTTTATTTTTTGTTCTTTAAACTAAGGAATGTAAGAAAAAAACAAAATAAGAATAAGAAACTCAAATAATTATAATAAAAGAAGTCAAAAAATAATTTATGTATGAAAAAAATTAAAATATACCTTGAACTTTGATAGAAGAATCATATATACTCCTAAATATTTTTTTTAAAAAAAATAGAACTAATAAATATAAATTTAAAACTAATCTTTTAACTTCCGTTAAATGAAGGGTATATGTGAGCTATTTTGTAACGGCAGGGATATATGTGAGCCGTTTGTATAATGGTAAGGGTATATATGTGCCACTTTTATAACGAGGGTATATCAGCTCCAATGACAAAGTTGAGGGTATATCAAACCTTTTCCCTTAGAATTATATGTTATCTTCTTTCTCATATATACTATCCCTTGTCCACAAAATTCAAAGGAAGACAATCACTATTTATCGGTGATGAATTCTTTCTTACGTAATTGGAGAGCTGGTTACGTAAGTTACTAACAATTAATGATCACTTTCTTCCACAAATTGATGAGAGTAAAGAGACGCAAATGTAATGTTCACTGGTAGACATAACATGATATATAATGTAACCTATGATATATTTTTATTAATATTAAAATGTTATATTGACGGTCTAGATTTATCTAAACTCGGTTAAGTAAAAACAAGCTATCTAAGTATCAACATAATTGTAAAATTAGCAGAAGCTTTATTTTTAAACATACAACTGATACTATAAAATTAGCAATTTAATTATAATAATTAGACGTTAGTTAGAGATCTAATAATGCCTAATTAGTAAACAAATGCAACAAGATTAGACAATAAATCTTCGTGATTCCATTAACAACTCAACATACATGTTCGAAAATAGTTCTGCTAGCCCAAAATCATTAACTAAGATCGGAAAAACAGATTGAAATTATTATTATTTCATTGATATCACAGGGAATATTATGAACTTAGCAGAAGTATTATTTTTAAACTCAGTTCTAATCTTCAATCATTAGCTATTTTTAGTACTTAATTAATAATTAGGTTAGTTAGAAAACATCCAATTTTAGAAACAATCCAATGATATATATATATGTATCTTTAACTTTTACCAGGTAAATATTGAATACCTCTGAGATAGATTTAACTTAACATCTTAGATTTAGAGAAAAGCATAAGAAAAATGGGAGTGATGAAAACCAACATACATGTAGAGAAGTATGAAAGAATGGCTGAACTACAAGCCTTTGATAAGACGAAAGCCGGTGTTAAGGGACTAGTCGATGCAGGTATAACCAAAGTACCACGAATGTTTATACAACCATCGATGATTGAACATTCGAGGAGTGAAAACAACAACAAGTTGATCGAGTTTCCAATAATTGATCTTGATGGCATCAAGGAAGATCCGATCAAACAAAAGAACATAGTCCAAGAAGTTGGTCATGCATCCGAGAGTTGGGGTTTCTTTCAAGTGATCAATCATGGGATTCCTAGTCATGTTATGGATGCAATGAAAGACGGTGTTACCAGGTTCTTTGAGCAAGATACTGAGGTGAAGAAGCAGTGGTATACGCGAGACTTGAACAAAGAGTTCACATTTAACAGCAATTTTGATCTGTTTAGAGCACCGGTAACCAACTGGAGGGACACTTTTCGTGCCACTATAGCTCCTATACCTCTAAAACCCGAACAACTCCCTTCTGTCTGCAGGTATTATGGAGAAACAACGTTGTTATAGAGAGGTTTGAATATTGTTTTGTGTTTTGATTTGCTTATTGTGCATTTGTGATAGAGATATTCTCCTCGAGTACACGAACCAAGTGATGAAATTAGGTGAAACTCTATTTGAACTAGTGTCCGAGGCTGTTGGCCTCGAACCAAATCACCTCAAGGATATGGGTTGTGCAGAGGGGCTTCTTGCTTTAGGCCAATATTATCCAGCATGCCCACAACCTGAACTTACTCTAGGCACCAGTAAGCATGCTGACAACGACTTCCTCACCGTGCTTCTCCAAGACAACATAGGCGGTCTTCAAGTCTTACATCAGAGCCATTGGGTAGATGTTCCCCCTACTCCCGGAGCACTCGTGGTCAATATAGGAGATCTTCTACAGGCAAGTAGTGTTACATTTTGAGTACTGTTAGAAACATTATTGTCTTATAACATATGAGATTGTTGACTCGATCATTTTCAGCTTATAACGAATGACAAGTTCAAAAGTGTTGATCATAGAGTACTGGCTAATAAGGTCGGTCCAAGGGTATCGTTGGCATGCTTCTTCATGACGAATTGTATGACAACACATAGGATGTATGGACCTATAAAGGAGCTGATATCGGAACAGAACCCTCCGAAGTACAGGGAAACAACGATTAAGGAGTTCACAACTTATTTCAATAACAAAGGGCTGGATGGCACTTCCACTCTGTTGCATTTTAGACTCTAAATCATCGCGATTGTAACAGGTAATGCATGTGTTGGAATAGTTGTAAACATCAATAAAGATACAAGTTGATAACAATATGAAGAAAGGAGCAGATAAAGACTAAAAAAATGTATTCATATATGAAATAAGAAAAACAAATCCTAACTAGACATAATTAAACAAATATCAAAAATAACAAATCCTAAATTACTGGTTTTAGGCTAAATACTTGAACAAATTTGGGTTCTCTTCATCTCTTTCCAAGTATTCTCTAGTGATGAGATCTTCTATCTGCTTTTTGATTGCTTTTAAGTCAGGCTTGAACATGGAGCTCAACTGCTCAACACACTCTGCTACTAGTTGTTGATGAGGAAGAACCTTTCGACTCTTCATAATACGTACTATACATGCATCGATTGCATAACGTCTATCTTTGCCTACATCCTCCACCACCTTTTTCCTTTCATCCACAAGAGGTAACGGTACCCTAACCCGTCTCATCCTGTCAGTGAACTTGGAGTTGAACTCGAAATGATCAGATGATGTAACAGTTGCATTGCTAGGATCTTTAATCAGAATTTTATACTTAGCACATGAAAGAGATTGAAGCAATCTGATCAAGTCATCATCAGCTAAATTTAACTGACTTTTGATTTCCGAGTAACTCAATCTATCTGACGAATTAAACAATGACAGAACAGCAGCCTGATAGGTTCCCAGAATCAATTCAATGGTTTTTGAATCAAACTTCCCAATGACGTTACACGTACCCAATGAATAAATCCATGTCAGTTTCCTGTGTTTCGTTGTTGTCTGATAGAATTCGTTGAAGACTTGTACACACTTAGCCATCTCGACAGGTAGACTCAAATCACAAGATTTATAGCTAGGCCAGAACCCACTTGTAAGTACTGTGACAGTTAGATCAATTCCAGTACTCGCGTTGTTGCTGAGATATTCTTGAAAATCGTTCTGATTTTCCTTAGCTAACGTCAAGTCTGTTACCATTCCCTCCATCTTTGATGTAAACTGTCCACCACAATACTGCTTTAGCTTCGTTAACATAAGCCTTTCGTGTTCATCATTAGCACATTTACTAAAGAGCAATCTACGAGAAAGCTTCTTCCTGCAGAACTCTCCAAAAAGGTCTTTGTCATTAATGTACGCGAGAAGCTTTACCACCTTATCCAACGTCTCCTCGATAGCATCATCACTAAGTTTTTCACTTCCACCTTTCTTGAGAATACTATCACAATACGAAGCAAGGAGCTCTGCACTTGAACAACCCGATACAATCTTGTTACAAAACACCTCAAATGCCTCCTTGAGAGCCTTATGAAACAGAGAGTGATTAGCAAAACAGCTCGTAACATAACTCATATACTTATCGTAAAGCTCAATGACCTTCCTAACAAAGAAGGGAGTTTCAGACTGTCTATTTGTCGTATCATCAGCCTGTTGCACTAAGTACATCCCTTCAGCAACGACGTGCTGCTTAAACATAGCTGAAACAGGTACCAATCCCTTGTCGATTTTGTAGAACAGCCTATACATTCGAGATAAATCATCTACCTTATCATCTCTAAGCAATACTCGAATTCCAGAATGCTCCTTCTCGAGTAACTGATTCGTATATACAACCAACAATTCATATCGCACTTTCTCTAAAAGTTTCGACTCACTAACAACATGGAGATAATTCGATACTCTCTCTTTCTCCTTCTTCAAACACTCCTCTGCGTTCAACATATAATCAGGACACGAATCTTCCCCAATCCAACTTGAAGCTTTACGAGAGTAATAACCTGCAGTATCTTCAAGCATTGCAAATTCAAAATCATTCACGTAGCACTCCATATTCCCCATCCCAACTGCAACGAATATATCAACCACACTCTTCAATAAACTTCTGTCAATCTTCTCCCCATCTCGTTCTCGTTCAATCAACACAAAAACCACATCTCTAGCTTTAACTTTCAATTCCTCGTAAACCAGATCACGAAAACACATCAAACCAACTTCCTTGAGTCCAGGTAGAGATTTTGCATTAATAAAAAAACGTTCCAGGTATTGGAAGAAACGCGAGAGCCACCGAATCATAACTTTGTGATTCGCCCATCGTTTCACAATCTCCTTCAATAGGAACTCATCGTGTCTGTCTCGTAAACAGGGCAGTACAGTAGAATCGATGTATTCTACAAATACTTGCTTGTAGTTTTCATACAACTGTTTTGAGTGATTATTAATATATGGCGGCGGCATACTCTGTGTACACATGTTGAATATTGTTGTATAGAGCATCATATACTCTTCGGAATCGAAACAAATTTCTTCTTCTTCTTGTAAAATTTTCTTCAACTTAGTGATTCCCTTCTCCATAAATTCCCATCCATCCTCAAACTCGATAATCTTCACCTCGCTCATCGCCGACTTAGTTTATGTCTACGTCCACCGGAGAAAAGGATCGATCACCGGAGAACTGAATCACTGTCGCCGGAGAGTTTATGAGTAAAAAAGTTGTTGAATGTGACTTCAATTTCTTACGTCTACGTCCACCGGAGAGAAGGATCGATCACCGGAGAGCTGAATCACAGTCGCCGGAGAGTTTATGAGTAAAAAAGTTGTTGAATGTGTGACTTCAATTTCTGTAAATAATATGTTTATTTATTTATAATAGTAAGAAACCAAATTAAACTATGAATAGAAAATCTATTCATTTATGAATTAAGACAAATAAAAACAATAATTGAATAAATACCAAAAATAACAAATTATAAATAAATTTAGGGTTTTGATTTCAATTTTTGAATTGTTTTTTTCTTTTTCCTTGAGTGATAAATAATCTTTGTAAGTCAAAAAAGAAATAAACTTGATATTTTTTCATCTCTACAAAATATTATAAGTCAGTCTCATTCTAAAAAAATACTTGAATGGCAATGTATGTCATTTTATAAAATTCACGCATAAAACATATGATTGATTAATTAATTAATCTTTTTAAATGTATTTATGTTGACTATACTTGGAAATGTACAACTAATTAAATAAGGACATAAGGATAAAATTATCTTGTTTCTTAATGCAAGTGCAAGTGAAAAAGATGATTTATAATATGGGACGGAGGGAGTAATAGACAAAGTTACGTGTTATATTTGTGGGATATCTCATCTTATTCGTCACGTTAGGATTATTTTATGAAAATACTTATTTAATTACGTTGTATTTTTATAAAATACTGATTTATTATATAGTTTGAAATAATCACATATTGTCTAACTAATTAATAATTGAGTAACTTTCACATGTAGTAAACATAAGAATCATATTTTAATGTTATAGTTATAATTTGCATAATTGTGCTCCATAACAAATATAAATATGTATATTTTACTATAAATATACAGAAAAAAATTGTATAATTCGCTATACATAGACAAAAAAAAAACAGTTGCATAATTCGCTATCGATATACAAAAGAAAGCAGTTGTATACAAAAGGTCAATTATATTATTTGTGTATGTATAAAACGAGAAAGAGAAAAAGACGAAAGAAAACTGGGCAGAAAAATATTTATTTTGTATAATTATAAGTATATAGGATGAAGATTTATGTAAATGCATGTGTATATACAATTTTCTCTCATTTCATACAAACAGAAACACAATTTATATATTTCATTTCTGTTTGTATAAGTGGGAGAGGCGAGGGTGGCGAGTGACATCTGGGAGAGGGGAATGAAAATATATGTATATATATAATTTTCTCTCGCTTTATACAAATACAAACACATTTTATATGAGAAAGGCGAGCGAGACTGCCACAACAAGAGCGGGGAGGAAGATTCCACTAGGGAGAGAGACGAACTTAGCAATAGTTTGTTATAGTTTACAATTAAATCAAAGTATATTTACGGCATTTAATTTAAATTAATAGTTTGCTATTACATACAATTTTCCCTTAATAATTTCGTATTGAATTTCAAGTAAGATAAAAACACAATCAAATCAAAGTATATTTACAGCATTTAATTTAAATTAATGATTTGCTATTACATACTATTTTTCCTTAATAATTTCGTATTGAATTTCAAATAAGATAAATACACTATTTCTTCAGATTTCAAGACAGATGCATGTGTCAAGGATACTAGATACATTTATCTTTAGTACCATATACATTATGAAATACAAAAAATTCCAAGTCAGATACATGTATCAAATATATTATATACATGTATCTTTGATATCAAACACATTTTAAGGCGAGCCATAGAGTTATTGTATTCTACTAAATTACACGTGAACTACACTTGGTTATAGTATATCTGAAGACAACTTACATCTAATTTGACCCAACATATATCATAGATACACGAATCTGAGTGACATATATCTAGTGAAGTAAATGTGGTACGAAAGTTAATTTCAAAAACCGAAGTGAAGACACGTAATAAAAACCTAAACTAGGTAGGACACGTAATACTCACGAAGCAAATAAAATAATCAAAAAAACTATAATTTATAAAACGAACTTGTTAGTTATGAGAGCAAAGTAGAGGCAAAGGTACAAAGGACCCATATTAATCCAATTATTGGGCTTAACAAAAAAAGCCCATTTAAGAGCTTGAAAATTTGAAAAATTAGCCAAAAATATAAAAATTTAAAACAATCATAATTCATCTCTACCGTCCGATCAAATCCCCTGCAAATCAACGGCCAGATCAATCCCCACACGCGCCTCTCTCAAATTTCAAAATTCATCTTCTTCTTCCTCCCGCTTCCATTTTCAGATCTTCCCAAAACCCAAACGGCTAAACTCTCTCTCTCTCTCTCTCTCTAACAGTCACTGAAAACCCACAAAAAAACACTCACAAACACCTAAAACACACAGTAGCTCGCACAAATATCATTACAAACGGAGAAGAATAAGTTCGGTTCGTTATTTTTCTGTCAAACGCTTAGAAATACCTAAAACACACAGTGGCTCAGTCAAGTACACCTAATAGAAGCATAGGTTCACCCTGTGTTCAACGATTGAAGATGTCGAATAAGGAGAAAGGTGTAAACGTTCAGGTTTTGCTTCGTTG